CCCCCCCCACACACACACACACACACACTTTTATATTGCACTACTCAGTGTGCTTTTGAATTTCCCCCAGGGGATCAATAATGTTATTTGAAATGAATTGAACTGAATGCTATATTTATGTTCAAAATATTACATAGTGCACATTGAAATGCCTACCAAACAATGTACATATTATTTTTGCGAAAGAAATGTGCAACCTGGGCCAAAGACAGGGTCAATTTAGACATCTTTTGACTAATTAATTATAAGAAATATCGTGGATTATTAAATAATTAGCTGACTATTCACTGCAGCTCTATTTAGGTTACCTCTTCCACCGACTTCCCGATTTGTTCAGCTACATTCTCCTTATGTGTCTTCAGGGCCACCAGCATGTCGAACAGAGCCAGGGTCCCAAGGGGCATCTCAGATAAATCCACCTGAACCACCACCGAACACATACACACACACATAAATAAACAACGGAGGCAAACAGACACAAATATTGATATTATTGCAGTGTATGATACCATTTCAATGTGTGTTGTGGCGTAGTTGCTGAGTGTACCTGGAAGGTGCAGACCATATCAGCTTTGAATTTCTGACTTGTTGATATGTTGAAGGTCCTCCTTGAAAGGCTAAATCTGTAATCCATTAAGTGGTAGGTCAGCTCGATCTGTTGCTGTGCCACCAGGAAGATTCGCTTGGCCACATCATTGTTGGCTGGTTTGGATTTGTTCCTGTGGAAACGCTCCACAACTCTCTGAAAGACACCCACACCCACAAAAGCATCCTGTGAGGTTTAACAAGCCAATAAGACAAATAAACCAACGCTTCAGTACAAAATAAAGGGAAGTGGACAGAGACAACACAATCATCTACATGCCCTGTTTTGTCAATATCGGAATATCTCAGCTTGCTTCTTGGAAAACATAATAACAAAACAGAAAAGACAGTGACATTCTAAAAAAAAAAACACACAACAACAAAACCATGCTGTTATGTTTTATGAAACATTGTGTTTTCTGTTTTGTTGTTGTGTTTTGTCAAATGTTGCTAGTTTTTGCACCTCAGAGTCTATCCTTTTCTCACCCATCCTTCTTTCAAAAAGCTTTGCTGTTGTGTTTTCTAAAGTGTTGTGTTTTTTGACAAGTCATGTTTACATTGTTGTTGTATTTTCTAGTTTGCTGGTTTTTTGTTGCATTTATTAAAAGGCTGAGATTTCTGTCTCTTGTATTTTGTAAAATGTTGTTGTGTTTTCCGTGGGCTGTACTATGAAGCAAGGTTAGAAGTTATGTTAAGCCCAAAGTCAGAGTTTTCAGTGCCATTAACGTAGCTCTCTTTGAGCTGAGCTAAAATGAGTGCACATTATTCAGTTAAACAACATACAAAATACTTTCTTTTGAAATTTTTTTGTTTTGCACTTTTGCTTTTCCAACACAGTATGGAAGGTAATTCGCCATCTGTTTACATAGCTCTCTTTGAGCTGAACTGATTGGAATCAAATACTTTGATATCCAAGGGAAAATGGATTCAAATTGTGCATGTATTGGTCAGGAATCAAACCCAGACCTCCCACATGACAGGCAAGGATTCTACCACTGAACTACCAGTGCTGAAAGAATGAGAAAAAACTTATTACTCAATTGGTATAATCACAGAGACTATTCCATCAATAACATTAATTTCCCTTTGTTTTGGCAAAAAACATAAGAGGATTTCCGCATTCTTCCTTATGGGACAGAGTCAGACTCCTTGAGTAACAAGTTCAGTGGATGAATTTTAAAGTTTAAGAGCTCTAATGTGCAGCGGCTTTTTTAGAAGGACTACTTGCTTTGTCAAATTGCTTTGGAGTACACCCCTATGTTCTGTCATGTTTTCTGTTTTGTTGTTTTCCAAATTTGTTGTGCTGTGTAAAATGTCATTGTGTATTTTTGTTTTCTTCTGTTTTGTGAAATGTTCTTGAGTTTTTGTTTTGTTGTTCTGTTTTCATTGGTGTGTGTGTGTGTGTGTGTGTGTGTGTGTGTGTGGTGAAATGTTGTATTTTCTGCTTTGTTGTTGTGTTTTCTGTTTTGTTGTTGCATTTTGTAAAATGCTGTGTTCAAATTTTTGCTAATGTTTTCTGTTTTGTTGATGGGTTTTCGGTTTTCCATCCATCCATTATCTATACACCACTTAATCCTCAGTAGGGTTGCGGGGGGCTGAGGTCTATCCCAGCTGACTCAGGGCGAAGGCAGGGAACACCCTGGACAGGTCGCCAGTCTATTGGTTTTCTGTTTTGTTGTTGCATAGTAGACATTTTTGCTTATCAAATAGTAAGAAATAATAGGAAAATACATCGACTTCTATAAGATAAGTTAACGTAGTCTCACTTCCTTACTGTTGTGAGCAGTCACCCCCAAAAGCCCATTTTGAGCAGGAAAAACCCTGATATAACTGCAGTAATCAATACGCAATAGAGATTACTATGGTCAAAGATGAATGACTACCAACAACTAAAATGACTCAGCTATCCCAAGCTATCAGTATAATTTAGGAATTTACATACATCTATAGGAAGAGGTTGGTCATTGCACAGTTGAACATGATCAAGCTGACTGAAGAAGACGTGTCGGTAGTATAGGAAGTCGCTTCGGCCCTCAAACGTCTCAATCATTTCATGTGGTGTCAGCTTCCTCCGCACCAGTCCATCAGAGCGAGCGTTGCTGAACTCCATCTCTTGCTCGGTGCCAGCGGTCAGGGATCTACACCTGAGGACTGAGCAGGGCAAACACACCGTCTCTCAGCCGACCGACTTACTACTGAGGAAGTTTCACTAATGAGATCAAAGAACACTGGTTCCTGGTCACTATGTTTCCTTCATATCTGGTTGGACTGAGGCTCAGAAGATAAAATCAATACTTCATCAATAGCAATAAGAAAACTGTTTGATTGAATGTTGGATGGTTTTACATCAGATGCTATATGGGCACGTACCATAAAGTTGGATTGCATGAACAAACTCGAAGCGTGATCAAGGTGATCAGGGTGAGAACACTTCTTTTTTGTTATTTATTTATGTGTTTCTCATTGTTGTGTTAACATTAAAGCAGACTTACGTAAAAGGTTGACTGTTGTTTTACATTTAAAGCATTCTGTCATGAAGTTGTCGACCTTGTTGACCTCCCTCTCCTCCAGGTGGTCTTTTCTGTCTTGATACCACTCCTTCACCAAAGCAACCTCAGTGCCTTCAAAACACACACACACACACACACGCACAAACACACACACACACACACACACACACACACACACACACACACACACACACACA